CCCGCACCTGAGTTTTTAGAGGACTCCAAGTCCCTAGAGAGGAACCACTCCCCACCCCCACCCCTCCAGAGGAAACAATGAATAAATGAAGCCTCTCAAAGGTCAATGGCTGCCCACCCAGCAGCCAGGGGCTGCCCCATGAGGGGTGTGGCCTCCTCTGTGAGGGAGTCTGGATAGCAGCTTGTGAAGCATACAGACACCTGGGCCCACCCCTGGAAACTCTGAGTCAGTAGGTCAGGGCAAGCAGGCAGCACGTTTCAGTGTCACCAGCTCCCCAGGTGATCCCGGTGCTCAGCCAGGAGCTCTAGAGCCAGACCCTGGGTGAGACTTTCCATCCCACCCCAGGCCTGGACATCCTCACCTAGAAAATGAGGATAATGAGATCCCTGCCTCCTGGGCCGGGCACTGATGAAGCACTGATAGAGATCTGCCAGGAAGCTGCTAGTTGAATCCTTTCCAGCCTGACCCCTCTCCCTGCCCACTGCCCCACCCCACCCCACTCCATCTACCCGGCCCAGGAAGCCTCCCAGGGCAGGCTGTGATCTGTGCTCTCCGGGGAGCAGCCCTGTGTGTCTGGAGCCTTTAACTCCTGCCTCCTGACACCAACAGCCCACAGGGGTCAGAGCCTCTGCCCTCGGCTCAACAGAGTCCAACGGTGCAGGTGAAGGAAGCCAGCTAAGCCAGTCCTGGAGCACTGGTGGGCGAAGGAAGGACAGGAAGGGAGGGAGCAGCTCAAGGAACTGTGTGCTGCTGTGTGGCAGGTTCTGTCCTGGGGTGAGCAATTACCTCTGTGTCCACCCGGGAGACTGAGGCCCAGGGAAGATAATTTGCTCAGAGAGATTTATTCCACCATTGTCTGGCTTTTGTATTTTTTTCTGTTTCTTCCCGTGAAGGCTTTGACTTCATTCAGCAGGTATTTGTTGAGCAGTGGGGCGGCAGTGAGTGAGAAATCTCCATCCTCATGTTGCCTACACTCTAGATGATAAAATAAGTACATAAGAAGTCTGTCTCGGGGCTGGGGATGTAGCTCAGCGGCACAGTGCCTGCCTGGCAAGCTCAGGGTCGTGAGTTCGGTTCCCGGTACAGGAAAAAAAAAAAAAAAAAAAAAAGTCTGTCTCAGCAGAAGCTTATGCATGGCGTGAGGAAATAGAGCAGAAGTGGGGAGAGCAAGTGTGGAGATTACAGGATGTTAAGGTTTAGATCTAAAACATCCCCCAAAAGTCGAATGGGCCATCGATTTCAGTAAGATGACCAGGGGAGCCCTCTGTGCGGAGGGGGCCTCTAAGTAAAATGGGAAAGGGGACAGAGCGTGAGCCATGCGGTGACCTGGAAGAGCAACGTGCCGGGCTGCAGAGAAATCAAGGGCTAAGGCCTGAGGCAAGAACATGGGGCCAGCGAGAAAGGAGGGAGGCCAGAGCGGTGGACGGGGGTGAGCAAGAGCAAGCAGACAGCCCCGCAGCCCCTGATGCAGGGCCGGGAACCTCTGGGAGGATTCTGGCTTTTAATCTGGAGACGATGGGAAACATTCGGTTAGACTCAGAGACCCTGGATGTGTGAGGATGCCACACTGACCTCTGGGCTCAGGGTGGGGATCGAGTCCTTGCCGTCCTTGGGAAATGTGCAACGCCCAGCGCCACTCAGAGCAACAGGAGATGGCACAAGAATGCTTTTCCAGAGCAGCTTAATAACAGGGCGAATGAATACCCACGGTTAATGGCACCTTGTGTTTTTTATCTCTGTTGTTTTAAAGATTTTGTCATAAAGGTAATATATGTTCTTGGTACAGAAAAAACATCAGAGCACAGAGGCATACAGTGTTAAAGATGAAAATTCCTGCCCTCCTCCATCCCTCTCCCTGGAGTGGGGGCAGGGCACGAGAGCTAATCACAGTTTGCTGAGTGTTCTAGATTTGCTTCTGTGTGCAAATACACACGTTAAGTTGCCCTGTATGGCATTTCTGGCCTGGTATAGTGACACATCCTGTAAGCCCAGCTCCACAGAAGGCTGAGGCAGGCGGATTGTAAATTCAAGGCTAGCCTGAGCATCTATAGAGTGGATGATTAGAATCCAGGGTAAAGGTCACATCCAATTTTAAGTTTGATAGATTTTTGCACTCCAGAAAGACAATCGATTCATCCCTTGCTAGCAGTAATTAGAATCCCCATTCTCCACAGTTTCCTCAGTACCTGATATTATCTGACTTTTGCATCTGTGTCAATTTCTCTCTTTTTTTAATACTAGAGATTAAACACAGGGTCTATGCACTGCCCCACCCTTTTAAAAAACAGTCTAAATCTCCAAATTGGTTCAAATGTTCCATACTCCTGCCTCAGCCTTCTGAGTAGCTAGAATTACAGGCGTGCACCACCACGCCTGTGCTGATGTGTTAGGCAAAAAGCAGCACTTTCTAGACAGGAAGGGAACTTACTCTGCTCTATGCAGACCTCAGTCTGGCACTCCGTGTATGTATTACTATCTCACCACATCCTCATAGCCCCTTTCCAAGGTGGGTAGTAGCACCTGTTTCACCGACAACAAAACCAAGGCTCAGAGAGGTGAAAATCTTTATCTAGGACCCCACAAACAGCAAGTGAACTCCCCGGCCTTCCACGGCCCCACCCTTTAATGAAGTGTAGCCATCTAACTGGGCCTATGCGGGGAGCTTCCTCAAAGAGGTGCTCTAAGAAGAGGCTTGAACAGGGCATGGTGTTGCATACCTGTAATCTCAGCTGAGGCAAGAGGATCCCAAATTCAAGGTCAGCCTGGACTTCATAGTGAGGTCAGGGCCAGCTTGGACCACATAGCAAGGCCCTGTCTCAAACAAATGAACGAATGAACAGATGGATGGATGGATGGAATGAAGGAAGGAGGTAAGAGTGGAGGCGATGAGGAGCTAGGTAAGGTGGTGCCCACCTGTGATCCCAGCACTCTGGGAGGCTGAGACAGGTGGATCACCAAATTTGAACCCAGCCTGGGCAATTTAGTGACTTAGTAGGACCCTGTCTCAAAGAAAATTTTAAAAAGGGCTAAGGATGTAGCTCAGAGTGAAGTACAATCCCAGTACAGCCAAAGAAGAAGAAAGAGAAGGAAAAAAGGACATGGGGTAGTTTGGAAAAAGCCCAGGAGACAACAGTAGAATAACTTCTGTCCCTTTAGAAGAAGTGATCCGTGGATATTTGGTGCTATTATGTTCTTAAATCAGTCCCCCCAGACTTTTAATGGGAGGCCACGAACAGTCACAACCCTTAGAGTGGGGACCTTAGTATTCCAGGACCATAAATGCATCAGTCAGGACTTCTCGGGATATAACTGATAGAAATCAAAACTCCAGCAACTCGAGGGAGAGGGTACGTATTGGCTCACACGGCCAAAATTCCAAGGCGGCTGCCCAGTGGGAACCAAGGCAAGAAAGAAACACAGGGCCTGCTCCCCACGTTGCCGAGGAGAACCTCATGCTCATGAAAAGTCTCTGCTTTCTCTCGCCCTCCTCTCTCAAAAAAGCATAAAAAGAAGGCCTGGCACCTTCATGCACCATATCTGAGTGGCAGTCCTGCTTCTGAGTGACCAACTCCACCATGAACCGTTAATATGGCAGAAGCTCTTAAGATAGGACGGATCGATTGATGGCTAATATGACTGCATTTGGTTTGCAGAAGACAGAGGTGCTGTGGGACGTAGAGATGAACAAACACCCCATTTCCAAAGCTCACCGCTCAGCAGGGAGACAGGCGCAGGGTCAGCACCCTCACAGGGAGGCAGCTTTGGGAGCCTGGTCCCAACCCCAGCTCTGCCAGTCACTCCTACACTTTCCACACCCACAATCTCACCCAGGAACCGGGAATGTCTGCGTATGGAAGTGGTGGTACAGACTAGGCAGGGGTACACAGAGCACCCCAGGGCTGGGGCCAGAGCTCGGTAGCACAGTGCTTGCCTGGCACGTGCGAAGTCCTCAGCTCACCTCTAACACCCCATAGATTTTTAAAAATGGGGAGGAGGGACACCTCAAACAGTGGCTGGCACACAGTAAGTTGTGTTTTTCATCATCCACACTGTCTGTGATAAATGCTATAAATCTCCCCAAGGCCATTTTATTTTTTATCAGGTCTCCTTCAAACTGCAGCCCCTTTCTTCTAATAGCAGGAATATATTCAATTAAACCATGTTTCCCTTGCATACCATCATGACTACTGTTCCTTCTAAGCCTTGCTTTCTCTGTCTCCTGGATTGTCCTTTGAGACCTCTCCAACTCCTCTTTTTCTTTCTTTCTTTTTTTGGTGGCACTGGGGATTAAACCCAGGGTCTTCCCACTAAGCTATATCCCTAGCCCTTTATTATTATTATTATTATTATTATTATTTTATATATTTTGAGACAGGTTATCACTAAGTTGCCCAGGCTGGGTTCGAACTTGTATCCTCCTGCCTCAGCTTCCCAAAGCATTATCATTATAGGCATGGGCCACTGTGCCTAACTCCCTTTGCTCTTCCTAGGGGCCCTTCCCAGATCAGATACACCCAGGTGCTGGACACACTGCAGCCCCTAAACACCGGGTCTGTTGGAAATGAAAAGTTCAGGGCTGCTGCCAGATAGCCCAGCACTGCAGGAAGCACTTGGGCTTTGAGTCTGACAGCACTGGATCAGAATGCCCAGCTCTCCTCACTGTGGTCCTTGGGCAAGTTACCAGATCCCGTGAGCCACAGTGTCCTTGTCTGTAGAAAGAGTTCACTGACATCTAATAAAGAAGTTAAGAGTATAGTTGCCAAGTTGGGTGTGTTCCACAGGCCTGTAATCCCAGCCCTCAGGAAGCTGAGGCAGGAGGATTGCTGCAAATTTGAGGCCAGCCTGAGCTACATAGTGAGTTCACAGCCAACCTGAACTACATAATGAGACCCTGTCTCAAGAAACCAAAAACAGGCACTGGGGATTTAGCTCAGCGGCACAGCACCTGCCTGGCAAGCGCAACGTCGTGAGTTCGATTCCTGGTACCGGAAAAACAAAACAAAACAAAAAACAACAAACAAAAAAAGTACTATTGCCAATGTTTGAACCTCAGCTCTGCTTGCTCTGGCAGCTGAGAAATAGCTCAGATTTTTGCGTCTGTAAAGTGGGGTTATGAATAGTTGCTGGGGAGGTTGAGCAAATGATATATGTGCATAATTCAGGGCTTGGCACATCGTCAGGACGTACATTTTCACTGTTATTGAATTAAACAGCGTGTCCAGGCCACTCAGCCAGGATAGGGGTGGGAAGGAACAGCGAGGTGGGCGCTGAACTTTGGTCCCGTTTTGGTTGCAGTACAGGCAGGCAAACTGTCCCTCTGTCTCAGGTGCTATCCCACAACCTGTACACGGTCCTGCACATCCCCCACGACCCCGTGGCTCTGGAAGAGCACTTCCGAGATGACGACGACGGCCCGGTGTCCAGCCAGGGCTACATGCCCTACCTCAACAAGTACATCCTGGACAAGGTGGGCCTGGTTTACGGCGGGGGCACCAGTCCTGCTACTCCAACCCGTCCCTCCACCCAGTAAACTCTCACTTCCGCTTATGCTATCCAGCTTCCTCTCCCACCTCCATCCATCACGTCCCAGCCATCTGTCCACTTCTGGGGCCTGAGCTCACCCTCAATGTCCCTCACCTCTAGCTTGGGTCTCGCCTTTCTGTAACGGTCTACCCCATCCTGCTGAGGCCTCCTCCAGCTTCCGGCCATAATGTCCACCCTGCTTCTCTCACCAGTCACTGTCTTCCCAGATCCTCCTCGGCTGTCCACTCCCCCCGAGGGCCCCCCTTCTTTCTCTGGGGGGGTAGGTGTGGGGGTGTTGGGGTGTTGGGACTTGGAACCAGCTGGTTGCCTGGTAATCAGCTCAGGGACTCCTCACATTTAGGCCTGGGTTTGACAGGGTGGAGAGCAGGGGCGTGGATGAACCCAGGCCGCCACGCTGGAGCGGCGTTTGGTTCTAGAGCAGGGCTGACATGTAGGCCTGACGGCAGGTGGAGGAGGGGGCCTTCGTCAAAGAGAATTTCGACGAGCTGTGCTGGACGCTGACGGCCAAGAAGAACTACCGGGCAGCTAGCAACGGGAACAGCATGCTCTCCAATCAGGATGCCTTCCGCCTCTGGTGCCTGTTCAACTTCCTCTCGGAGGACAAATACCCGCTGATCATGGTTCCCGATGAGGTGAGGGTGGTGACAGACCAGGGACTGAGTCGCTTGGGTCCAGGCCCCAGCAAAACCATGAAGGCCACATCCCCTTTCTGCGCTGGCTCCCCACGCTGGTACCTGTGCCCGCCAGCTGTCTCCGTACACCTGGGGCTGCTCCTACCACAGCAACTCGGCCTCGGTCCAGAAAAGCCCAACCGACCCCTCTGCCAGGTTCTGCGGGAGCTCACAGGAGGAAAATGCCATGCAGACTACTAAGCAGGAGTGTAAATGCCTGCTACAATGCCGAGCAGTTTAAAATGAGAAAAGCTGGTCAAATGGTAGGGCTTCAGGCGCTGTGGTAGTCAAGGAAGGTGCTTTTAAGGCGAAGGGAGACCTTCCTGAGACAGGAAGTAACTCCCCAGTTACTCAAGGTGGGCCCCCAAGCCTGTCCCTGGCTCCAAATTTTCCTTCTGTCTTTCCCTCCTGAAGAACCAGGGCAGATGAAGTACAGGTCCCCAGAAAGGGGATGCCAAGAATCCCGCCCCTACCTCCTCAGCTCACGGGTGAAGCCAGGGCAGCCCTTTCCCTGCCCATCTGAACCTTTCCTCCTCTGCCCACTTCTCTCCACGCCCCGCCTGGCCTTCGACTCCAGTCCTCCGGTGGCACCGGGGGGTGGGGGTGGGGGGGATTTAGGTCTTCGGAGCAGGGCACACAGGGGAGGAGCCTGGCGTGCCTCAGCACTTCTGTTTGGGGGAAACCACTTGAGCCCTAAGCTGATGCCTCCACTAAATTCCAGCTGAGATAGGGGGACGGGGGCAGGGTGAGCGTCCTAAAGAGTCTCCCAAGAAGCTGCTGGCAGGAGGGACGCACGTCCCTCTGCACGGATACCTTGTCAGATCCCGGCCAGGCCGGGCCAGGTGGCCTCTCAGAGGCTGGGAGGCTTCTTGCTGCTGTAATCAGCGTGCAGTGAGAACGTGCTGCAGCAGGATGTACCCCAACCACCACTTCCTGTTCCTCTGTATGGGTTTCCTGTCCCTGCCCTGCTTACCCCCACCCTCAGGCCCCCTGCCCTCCTGCAAGGGAAGGATTCCCAGGGTTTGGGACTGGGGTTTGGCATAAAGACTGGGATAGAAATTTAGGAGATTCAAATGGAGTTCTGGCTGCCCCTACCTTGCCCCTGACTGAAGGCAAGTCACTTCCCCCTTTGGCCCTCGCTTTTGTCATCTGCAAAGTGAGGGTATTGGATGAGCAGGTTCTTGTCCCTCTTCTGACATTGTGATTTGCTGCCTCTGCCTGGCCGTAGCTCTGAGCGTCCTCCTCTTGACCCTGCCCCAATTCAAGGCAAGAGGAATGGGACTGGTTGGGAAGGGGATGAGTTTGCTTGAATTGGGGTTGGAGCTCCCGGGCTCCCTCCCGAGTCCCTACCCTGGTCTCTACTTAGCCCCCTTGGCCTCCTTCCCTCATCCCCTCTGCCCAGGCTGTGGGAGCCGGACAGAGCGCCCCCTGGTGTTGGTGCTGGCGCCACTGCCCGCTGTGGTCACTGGGCCTTCCTTCCTTCCAGGTGGAATACCTGGTGAAGAAGGTGCTCGGCAGCACGAGCTTGGAGCTGGGCTTGGGCGAGCTCGAGGAGCTGCTGGCCCAGGAGGCCCAGGCAGCCCAGGCCGCCGGAGGGCTCAGCGTCTGGCAGTTCCTGGAGCTCTTCAACTCGGGCCGCTGCCTGCGGGGCGTGGGGCAGGACACCCTCAGCATGGCCATCCACGAGGTGTACCAGGAGCTCATCCAGGACGTCCTGAAGCAGGTCGGCCCACTGGGAGCTGGGGGAGGCCCGCAGGAGGGCGGCGGGAGCCTAGGGCGCTGCTGACCTGGCTGTGGCCAGCAGGGCTACCTGTGGAAACGAGGACACCTGAGGAGGAACTGGGCCGAGCGCTGGTTCCAGCTGCAGCCCAGCTGCCTGTGCTACTTCGGGAGTGAGGAGTGCAAGGAGAAGAGAGGCTCCATCCCCCTGGACGCCCAGTGCTGCGTGGAGGTGAGGGCGCAGGCGCAGAGCCACGCGGGGATGCGGGGTGGGGCGGAGTGGACGCGGGACGCGAGGAGGGCGGACGTGGAAGCGGAAAGCCAGCGTCTGCTGCAACCCACGCTTGTGCTGAGATTAGGTAACCCAGGTACACCTGGAGGCCTCGCGGCTGTCCTCATCCGCATCAAGCTCTAGAAGAACTAAAACTACAAATCGAATACCGAAGTCCAGCGGTAACCAATGTAGATTCTGCTAAATATTTCAGAAAGGATGGCTGATACCCTCACTTCGTAGCAAACCCTTCTAAAAAGTCCCTTTAAGAGGTCTTTCTCGCCAGGCGTGGTGGCGCAGGCCTGTAACCCCAGCACTCGGGAGGCTGAGGCAGGAGGATCGTTGTGAGTTTGAGCCCAGCCTGGGCTACAGAGTGAGCTCAAGACCAGCCTGAACTGCATAGCAAGACCCTATCTCAAAAAGACCAAAAAAAAAAAAAAAAAAAAAAAAAAAAAAAAAAAAAAAAAGACGTCCTCCTCCACCTAAATTCTCTTCAACGGCTCTAGGCCTTGCTTCTCTCCCTCCATTACACTCCCGTCCCCCTTTTCTCCTTCCGTTGCCTACCCTCACTCTGTACATTATTATTTTAGAGGCTTAAAACAATAGTTTAAAAAAATTTTTCATTAGTGTCCATTATAGTTTTGCCAAAATATTGGGTCTCGATGTGGTATTTTTGTATATGCATATAAGATTGTATCCATCTCTCTTTCTCTCCCGTATTTCCTTTTTTAAAATGAATCCATATATTAGGGAAACCACATGATACTTATCTTTCTGGGTGGCACTTATTTTCCTTAACATGATAATCCTTAGTTATAGCCATTTGCCTGCAAATAACATAATTTTGCCCTTCTTTGTGGCTGAATAATATTCCATTGTATATATAGACAATATTTCTTAAAATCTATGGATCTGTTAATGGGTATCTAGCTGGTTCCATATTTTGGCTATTGTGAATTGTGCTACAATAAACATGGGTATGCAGCTATCCCTATAGTATGCTAACATTAAATACTTCAGGTATATACCAAGAAGTGATATAGCAGGCTCATATGGTAGTTCTATCTTTTAAGTTTGTTTTGTTTTTAGTTTTTTTGTTTTCGTATTTGTCTTTTTGAGACAGGGTCTCACTACGCAGTTCAGGATGGCCTTAAGCTCACTTTGTAGCCCAGTCTGGTCTCCAACTTGCAACAATCCTGTCTCAGCTTCCTGAGTGCTGGGCTTACAGGCTTGCACCACTGTGCCTGGCTGTTTTTTAGTTTTTTGAAACAGGGTCTCGCTATGTAGTTGAGGCTGGCCTTGCACGCACTGTGTAGCCCAGAGTGACTTTGAACTTGCAACAGTCCTCCTGCCTCAGCCTCCTGAGGGTTTACAGGAGTGTGCCACCCCACCCAGCTTCTACTTTTACTTTTTTGAGGAACTTCCTAATGATTTCTGTACTAACTGTACTAATTTACATACCCATCAGCAGTGTAGAAGAATTTCTTTCTTTTTTTTTTTTTTTTTTCCCAGTACCAGGAATCGAACTCACGACCTTGCACTTGCCAGGCAGGTGCTGTGCTGCTGAGCTAAATCCCCAGCCGCAGAAGAATTTCTCTTTCTCCATATGTTCCTCAGTCTTCTCTCTGTCACTCTTTTTTTTTTTTAGGCAGGTTCTCACCGTGTAGTCCAAGCTGGCCTTGAACTTCTGGGGATCCTCCTCTTTCAGCCTCCTGAATGCTGGGACTAAAGGCATATGCCACCTGTTTGGTTTTTTTTTTTTGTTTTTTGCTTTTTGGTATCTGGAATCGAACTCAGGACCTCAACACTTGCCAGGCAGGTGCTGCCCTCCTGAGCTGCATTCCCCACCCTGCCACCTTCTTTTTATATTCTTTTTTGACTCTTTTCAGTTTAATGCATGAAAGAGTTACACTAGTCCGAGTGAAAGCAGACCCCCAAATGGCTATATTATATATAAGCTGCGAGGCTTTTAAACTAGTGACAAGGGACAGGAGGGACATTCTATTCATGGCAAGGAAATCTTCACTTAAGCATCCATGAGCCACAAGCACTTGACTTTAGCTAATCTGCACCAGGAACAGGGCTGTGTTCTTGCACTGGTCACCCTCCACGTGGATTACCTCTCCATGCTCTGGACTGTTGCAGGCGGATTTCCTCTTTTTTGTTTTTAAATTTTTTAATTTTTAATTTTTTTTAAAGAGAGTAGTAAATGTGACACACACAAAAAATAGAACAGTAGCAGCCTACCAGTATCACAAACATAAACAAACCAAAGCAAGAGCATTTAAAGTGATACAGGGTTTTGTGCTCGCTTCGGCAGCACATGTACTAAAGTGATACAGGGTTTCAAGACAAAATAATACAAATTAACAAATAATGATACGAATTAACAAAATAATTACAAATGTTGTTATATTATGTATGGCTATCCTCAACTATGTTGCTCAGATTACCAGAAGTAAGAATGGAAGATTGTTCAAACCATTAAGGAGAATAAGAAAATAATTACTAGATAAAACGTTAGAGGTAATACAGAGTGTCACTAGACAAGATGGTAGGAATTCACCATGGTAATTCCACTGCATACTGTCACCTTCAAATCAGCTGCCCAGATTAGAGTTCCTCTTAAATGCCTTCACCAGTTTCTTTTTATCATAACCATCAGCAATCCCTTGGACAGTGGTAAGGGTCTTCCCGACATTTCTCTGTTGGATTCTGATATGAATATAATCCTCAGCGCCGGCAGGAAGCAGGTCATCACCCTTAATTTGCATCAGCGAATGGGTCAAAACAGAGGAGGTCCTGGACAGCAGACATGCGATACGATTTCCTTTTCCTCATTTCCTTGGTGGAAATGGCCTGCCGAAGGCAGGGAAGGAAGTAAGAAGCCCAAGGGGGAGGCAGCTGAGCCCTCATTGGTGGCTAAGGGACTGGTGGGCCCTTCTATTCTTTTTTTTGGCTTTTCGAGACAGGGTCTCACTATGCAGTTCAGGCTGGCCTTGAGCTCAGGGGGTGAAATCTCAGTGTAAGTTTTTTCCCCCCAGTACTAGGGATTGAACTCTGTACTGGGGATTGATTCTCAGCTATCTTTTAATTTTTATTTAGAGACAGGGTTTCCACAAAGTTTCTCATTTGCCCAGGCTGGGTTTGAATCTGTCATCCTCCTGCCTCAGCCGCACCCAAGTAGTTGGGATTACTGGTGTCAGGCACCACGACTATCTTATTACCTATGTAGTTTTGCTTTGCATTTCCCTCATGGCTACAGAGGTTGAACATTTTTTCATAAACTTATTGACCATTTATACTTCTTTTGAGGAGTGTCTGTTTATTTGCCCACTTTATTTGCCCACTTGAGTTAATTGGGTGTTTTTGTTTTGTCGTTTTTTTTAGTTCTTTACGTATGCTAGGTATTAATCCTCTGCATTAGAGTAGGTGGCAAAGATTCTCTCCCATTCTGTAGACCATCTCTGCACCCTTGGTTGTTTCCTTTGGTGTGCAGAAACAGTGGGCCCAGACCTGTGATTCTCCTGCTTCAGCCTCCCAGATTTCTGATATTACAAGCATGTGCCACCACACCTAGCTCAGAAATTTTAATTTGCTGTCGTTCCATTTGTTGATTCTTGCTATTACTTCCTGTGCTATTGGCATCCTAGTCAGGAAGTCTTTCCCTGTGCCTATGACTTCCAGTGTTTCCCCTATGCTTTCTTCTAGAAGTTGCAAAGTTTTAGGTTTTGTACCTATGTCTTTGATCCATTTTGAATTGAGTTTTGTACAGGCTGACAGATCCATCTATTTATGGATGCCCTACTTCCCCCAGCTCTATTTGTTAAAGAAGCTGTCCTTTCTTATATATATATATAATTTTTGGCCTCTTTGTCAAGAATCAGGTGGCTGTAGTTATGTGGGGTTTTTTTTAAGTATCTGAATTTTGTTTTTTTCTCCTGTGCCGGGAATCGAACTCACAACCTTGCGCTTGCCAGGCAGGCGCTGTGCCGCTGAGCTAAATCCCCAGCCCCTAGTATCTTCAGTTCTATTCCAATAGGTGTTCATTCTTTGTGCCTGTACTATGCTTGCTTGCTTTTTGTTGTTGTTGTTACTATCATTTTGCAGCATAATTTAAAATTGGATGTTGTGATGCCTCCAGCTTTGGTCTTTTTGATTAGGATTGCTTTGGCCATTCTGCGTCTCTTGTGTTCCATATGAATTTTAGGAATGCTAGTTTTGTAGAGAATGTCCTTAGAATTCTGAGAAGGGTTGCCCTGAATCTATAGATCACTTTGGGTAACATGGCCATTTGAACAGTGCTAATCCTGCTGATCCATGAACATGGGACGTCTTTCTGTCTCCTAGTGTCTTCTTCAGTTTTTTTTTCTTTATTGTTCTGGAGTCTTCATCGTAGAGGTCTTTAATTTCCTTAATTATGTTGAATCCTTTATTTATTTTGTTTGGTGGGGTTTTTTTCCTGAAGCTATAATATAACTATTTTAAACAGACATGAAATTTTCCATTTTAATCATTTTAAGTGTTTATTCAGTGGCATTCAGTACCTTCACAGTATTGTGCAACCCTCACTTACCACCGTCTATTTCTAAAACTTACATCACCCAAACAGAAACTCTCTCCCCATTAAGTAATAATCTTCATTCCCCCATCTCCTGAGCCCTGCGTAACCTCTATTTTACTTCCTGTCTTAATGAATTTATCTATCCTAGGTACCTTGTGTTAGTGAAATTATACTGTAGTTGCCCTTTGGAGTCTGGCTTCTTTCACTAAACATAGTGTCTCCAAGCTTTATCTATACTGTAGAAGGTATCTGAACTTCATTCCTTTTTAAGACTGAGTAGTATTTCATTGTACGGATATACCACATTTTGTTTATTCACTTGTTGATGGATATTAGGCTTGTTTCCACCTATTTATTTGTCAATGTGAACAGTGCTGCTATGGGCAAGTTTCTGTGGACATGTTTTCACTGCTGTTGGGTAAATACATCCACCATCCTAGCAGAATTGCTGGATCAAATGATAATTCTAACTTTTGGGGAAAAGGCCACAATTTTCTTCAGCAGCTTTTCTGTATTTTGTATTTTCATGTATAAGGATTTCAATTTCTCTACATCTCTTGCTCTTTTACTTTTTAAATTACCATTACAGCCATCCTAGGCTGTGTCCATTTTTGTCACACAAGGAAACAGGTTTTGGTATGAAAAGAGCACAGATCCAGGCAGAGCACCCAGCTGCATTAATTAGGCACTGTGAGTCATAAAAGATCCTGGGGCTCTTACAGTCTCAGTTTCCTCCTCTGTAAAGTGGACCTAATAGTACCTGCCTGGCAAAGGTGTGTGAGCATTGTGAATAAAATGAATCCAAGTGTGCTGGCTCATGCATGTGATCCCAGCACTCAGGAAGCTGAGGCAGGAGGACTGCTGCGAGTTTGAGGCCATCTAGGACTACACAGTAAACCCTGTCTCAGAACACCCTCCTCCCCCACAAAAAAATCACCAGTACAGACACATAGAACAAAACAAGCTCAATGTGGGGCCGGGGAGATAGCTCAGTAGCACAGCGCCTGCCTGGCAAGTGCAAGGTCCTGAGTTCAATTCCTGGTACAAAAAAAAAAAAAAAAAAAAAAAGAAGCAGCAGCAGCTCAATGTGTGGTAACTGCTATTTTCCACAGAATATAAGCTTCAGGAACACAGTTGTGGTCCATTAGGCACACCTCAGCATCCCCAACCCCCAGAACCATAAGTGGAATTTAGTAGATACTCCAAAAATACTCCAGGAATAAACTTTCTCCCCAGGAAGGGCCATTGGAAATGAGCATTGTAGGTAGTGAGGCTCCTGTTAATGCAAGTGTTCAAGCATGCGCTCTGCACTCAGCCCTGTGAAGGCCGGAGCCGCGGGGACAATGCAGGCTCCTGGCAGAGTGGGCAGTGTCACCAGGGAAGCGGGTTGGCCAGGAGGAGTAGGGGTAGCCCTCAGCTCAGTGAACCAGCATACGGGGCCACCCGCCCTTCCCAGGTGCTGCCAGACCGCGACGGGAAGCGCTGCATGTTCTGTGTGAAGACCGCCAGCCGCACGTACGAGATGAGCGCCTCGGACACGCGCCAGCGCCAGGAGTGGACGGCGGGTGAGTGTGCGGGCAGCTGCGGGCTGCGGCTCTGTTGCGCCCCGGTATCGCCAGAGCCGAGGCCGCGCGGAGGTCCCTGGGCGGCCGCGGTGATCCAGATCCAGCTGACCCCGCACCCGTCCGCCACAGCCATCCAGATGGCCATCCGGCTGCAGGCCGAGGGCAAGACGTCGCTACACAAAGACTTGAAGCAGAAGCGGCGCGAGCAACGCGAGCAGCGGGAGCGGCGCCGGGCAGCGAAGGAGGAGGAGCTGCTGCGGCTGCAGCAGCTGCAGGAGGAGAAGGAGCGGAAGCTGCAAGAGCTGGAGCTGCTGCAGGAGGCACAGCGGCAGGCGGAGCGGCTGCTGCAGGAGGAGGAGGAGCGCCGCCGCAGCCAGCACCGCGAGCTGCAGGAGGCGCTCGAGTGCCAGTTGCGCCAGGCGGAGCAGGTGCGCTGGGCCCCGGGGGCGGGGCCTGAATGGGGAGGGGCCTGGGCTGAGCGAGATTGGGCGGGGCCTAACAGAACAGGGGCGGGGCTTACGGGGGCGGGGCCTTGCTAGCCCGTGGGCTGGTGAAGTGGACTGAACCGGCTGCGGAGTCCGGGGCTGACGGGTGTGTGCTAAGATGGAGTGTACTAAGGGACTGAAGGCGGACTTGGGACTGCGTCTGTACCAGGGGTGGGAGTGTGACGAAGGCAGGGGAGGTCGGGAATCCGGCCGAGGGCTATGGCTTGAGATGAGGGTTGGTGGGCTGGAGCCGAATGACAGATGTAGCAGCCTGGTTCGGGGACCTTTGGGGCACGGGGACGGTGCTGGGACCCAAGGGACCCCGAATGATCCTGTGTTGGGGAATAGTTTGGACCAAGGTTGGACTCTCCCACCCGAGATTTCAGGGAAACCAGTTTGGGGGCTGGGATGGGAGGTCGGCAGGTCCGGAGTCAGTCCCAAACCTGCCCCTTGTGCAGTGGCACAAGCGCCTGCCTGGCAAGTGCAAGGTCCTAAGTTCGATTCCCAGTACAAAAAAAAAAAAAAAAAAAACCAAACCCAAACCCGCCCCTTCGAAGCCTGGAGTCCGCGAGCCTCTCTGTGCGTCTTTCAGTAAATGCTCACAGAGGTGAGGTGAAAGTTAGGTGAGGAAGCACTTGTACAGTGTTTACTGTCTTCTGGTTGTGAAAATTACAGTCACCATCCTAGCACCAGCATCATGATATAATACTAATTATTAGGACGGGTGATAGGGAGGAGGCGATTATACTTTAATATATTGTTTAATTGTAACATAACATGGTAGATACTATTTAGTTACATACATATATCTTTTGTTTTATATTTGCCGTGTTGGGGCTCGAGCCCAGGGCCCATGGACATGCTAGGCCGGTGTCTCCCACCAACTATTACTAAAGCTAGCTGTAGGGACAGTTTGAGGCCTCTGTCCCTTGTTATCCAACCCATTTGGGCTCTCCGGAAGGAGTCAGATCCGGAGGCCTGAATAAAGGAATTCCCTAGACCTCACCCCCAGTAGCCTGTCTGCCCGCGGGCCCCAGGCACCCCTAAGGACCTGGTGCTGTGCCCCCCACCGCCCTGCAGGCCCGGGCTACCATGCAAGCTGAAATGGAGCTGAAGAAGGAGGAGGCCGCCCGGCAGCGGCAGCGCATCCAGGAGCTGGAGGAGATGCAGGAGCGGCTGCAGGAGGCCCTGCAACTGGAGGTCAAGGCGCGGCGGGACGAGGAGTCAGTGCGCCTTGCACAGACCAGGTAAGACCCGTTCCGACTTCCCCATCCACACCACCTGCACCGCCTTCCGGCTGGCCGAGCACCCGAGGTGCGGGCAGAGGTGACGCGGTGCACCCCGCCCCCGCAGGCTGCTGGAGGAGGAAGAGGAGAAGCTAAAGCAGCTGATGCAGCTGAAGGAAGAGCAGGAGCGCTACATCGAGCGCGCGCAGCAGGAGAAGCAGGAGCTGCAGCAGGAGATGGCGCTGCAGAGCCGCTCCCTGCAGCAGGCCCAGGAGCAGCTGGAGGAGGTGCGGCAGAACCGGCAGAGGGCGGACGAGGACGTGGAGGTGAGGCGGTCCGGCTGCGAGCCAGCCTGATGCCCTGGAACCCTGGCACTGTCCTCAGCTGGCTGTGTGACCTAGGGCAAATTGCCTAATCTCCCTGAGCTTCACGTCTTTAAACTGGGGAAGGAAAATGATAATCCCTTTGTTATGAAGATTAAACAAGATAAAACATATATTTCATAAGTAGTAGGTGCTGAAGAACATTTGCTGCTGTGTTCGCTAACGTTTTTATTAGCCCAGGCAAAATGTTTTCCTCTTGCTCATCCAAACCCCTATCTTACTAGCCCTGTACTTGGATTCTACTCCTTGGAGCCTGAAGCGCCATAGAAGAGGATTTAAGTTCTTTTCATTTTAATGGTCGATGTTTTCTTTAAATTAATATTGATGACTTTATTTCACTTTGCCGGTCCACATAGTCATTGAAATGATTTTAAACACTGACATATGTAACAGAGGAAGGGAAATTCCTCCATGACTCACCCACATGCCCACTCCTAATGTAGTTGGGGTTTTTGTTGTTGTTGTTTTGTTCTGCTCATTCTTTTTTTTTTTTTTTTTTTTTCCGGTACCGGGAATCGAACTCACGACCTTGCGCTTGCCAGGCAGGTGCTGTGCTGCTGAGCTAAATCCCCAGCCCCGTTGTTGTTTTGTTCTGAGACAGGATCTCACTGTGTAGTTCAGGCTGGCCTCAAACTCACTATGAAGCCCAGCCTGGCCTTAAACTCTGGGTGATTCTCCTGCCTTGGCCTCCCAAGTGCTGGGATCACAGGCATTCGCAACCCCACCTGGCTTTCACGGCTGTTTGTGCATGAGGACCTGGAGATGTGGTGTAATGCAGGGTTTGGAGGTCGGTGTGTGTCGGTGGGCAAGTCACTGAACGTCTTTTGCATTTGTTTGTTAACTTCTCAGAGTTAAATATGTCCATAAATGTGCTTAGCACATCTTAGCTGTTCAGTAAGATGAAATT